AAACAAGAGGTATCAAATTTCTGTATGTAAGGTAGTTTTGATGGTATGTTTTGCATAACTTGTAGGGACTATTGTCTTTCAATCCATTTTGGTGCTTTAAAATCTCTGTAAATGATTGAAAAACAGATGCATGTGATCTCTCATGTGTTAATGTTTTCTCATGTTATCAACTGGCCAAAAAAAAATTCAAAGTAATATGCAACAATACACAATGTTTATTAGTTGATCTAACATCTCGCTTGAGTTATGCCGAGTTGAAGAGGAATTCAGGTTTCATCATCCGATGGGTGGCCTCACAATTACTTGCAGCGAGGATTTATTAGTTGATCTAATCTCTCGCTTGAGTTAAGTCGATGCTGTGTATATAAGGATATGTAGCTTTGTACATAGTTATTTCTCTTTTTGCTTTTGTCATTCTTGTCGAGACAAAGGGTGCTTTTGTCACGGAAAATTGTATCCCTAGGACAAAATTACAGTCAATGAATACATGAGAAATTTACTGAGCCATTTTATGGTGCAAAAAAACTATATATATAATCTTTGTTTTTGGAATGTCAGTAAAAATTATCTATGGACTTACACAATTAAAATGCATTTTCCTGTTCTAGTTTTGTTACCATTTTTCTGTTAATTGTTAACTTGGTAAGTCTTATAAGTTTGAATGCATCTTGTGCCTCTAGAGTTTCATAGGATATGTCGAATGAGTAATTATAAATTTAGGATTAAGCATTGTTAGCACAACTTTCTATTAAGTTTCAAGCACAATACACCTCAATAAGAGAAAAACAAATGGAATACACAGTTTCGAAATTCTGTGTAAAGGACCAGCTTTCGTTCAACAGTTCAAGTAAATAAAATCTGTAACGCAATATTTTGTGCTCATTTCTCCGTACAATCCACTTGTTACCTGTTGTATACCATCTAAATGGCAGGTTTCTATTTCTTTGCCAATTTTCACATTTGGTAAATCAAATTAGTACAACTTTTTTATGATTAGAGATGACAAAAAGCATGTGATCTTTCATGTGCTAATGCTTTGATTTAGTGTACTCTTCACCAAAATTCTAGTATGGCCCAGCTCAGGACTTTATATCTTGATTATAATCATTAAATAGTTATTTGTTTTCAAAAAGAGCTTAAGACCCCAGAACTTTAGGTAGCAAACAGCAGAAACCAACTTATGACAGATCATGTTCGATAATCGGAGGACAAATACATGTGCATTCTTGTTCTGTAGTTGATTTTTCTTGGTAACAATTTATACGGTTTTTGTCCGGTCACCACAAATTATATGGATGTTAGTTATTGCAGTAGGGTCGTTCGAAGGCTATGTTGCTATAGTTGGTAGGGTACAATGTTTTTCCATCACTCAAATTGTTGTTGTGCCTTGAAATCTTTATAATGTTTTGAAAGACAAATGAATGTTAGTCCTTGTGTTCTTGCATGCATATTCACTTTCTGACTTTCTGTTATTCTCTATATATATAACCAACTCGTTTTTTTCGATTACACCAAGCAACAAGTCCTTAAGAATCATTCAAGCTTCTCTCTGCTTTCATTCATTCATCCTCCCAGTACTATCAAGAAAACTTCCCATTTCTACTCAGAAAAGGATTTAATTATACCAAAAATGGCTATCGGTAAAATGTTGAGACGATCTTTATCCAGCGAAAAAAGATCAGCTGACGTTCCAAAAGGACACTTTGCCGTTTATGTTGGGGAAAACGAGAAGAAGAGATTTGTTATCCCGGTTTCGCATTTGAACCATCCTTTATTTCAAGAACTTCTTCTCCAAGCTGAAGAAGAATTCGGGTTTTATCATCCAATGGGTGGCCTTACAATACCGTGCAGTGAGGATTTATTCATTGATCTAACCTCTCGCATGAGCTGATTTTTGTCATTTGTATACGATTTCTTTTTCTTTTTAGCAGGACACATTTTTTTTTTAAAAAAAAATAGGTTCATTGGGAAAGAGATGTACCAAGGTTTTTTACAAAAATAGTATTGTGAATCTATATGAAAGTTACACCAATTTGAGCAAAGCATTATCTAATTTGATTCGTTTGCTGCAATTAATTCTATAAGTTAAGTTTGTTAGGCACAGTAGATGGGGTTCTGAAAACGAAGTCAAATTCCAAAACAGAACAAGAAAATGAACTAAAACGAGAAAAAGAGACTTAAGGCAGACTTTTAACATCTATATCTATGGATTGTTGTTTGAAAAATCCAACTATCCAAGTATTAATTTTGTAACTATGACATAGATGTGTCAGAAAAAAAAAATACATACCATATATAAATTCACAAATTAAAAGGAAATAAGATATACAGTAGACCCTTGTGCAACCTGACACTCAATGGGGCAACCTGATTATGGGAGTGAGAAATGGGAAAGAGAGATGTTGTGGCATATTCAGTGGGTGAATGCATGTGCAGACAATGAACAGTTTCTTGTCGATTATGTTTTCTGACTTGGTTCATTCATTTTTTGCAGCAAACGAGGAAGCTATAAACACGAGATAGATGTACCAGTGAGTGCCTATTAACCCCGAAATGATTGGTTGATTGTACATCGTTGTTGATTGAATGTACACTCTCTTCCAACTGATCAATCCTTTCACTGTTCGACTCCCTCAATGAATGAAAGCACCAATGATGATTTTGATGCTCGAATGATCCAAAAAGAAGACAACAGAGTTTTAAAGAAATCTCCAAATAACTAAACAAAGCTAAAAAAGAAATAGGAAATCTGTCGGCTTGCTCCTCAAGTCATGCCAGGCTGTCTTGCGCAGGGCATCGCGGGCCAACCCAAATTCCCAAATTATTAAAAATATATAGAATACCAAATTCCCCAACTCATTCTCATTCACTAATCGCCCAAACTCCAACAAACCAAAAATTGCTCCGCCCGCTCTCCTCCCTCTGCCCTCGTCGTGTGCCGCCGTCGGACACTCACTCGCCGGACCCCGCGCTAATTTCAGTCGCGCCTCACCTCCGAAACTCTCAGTCTCTCAGTCGCCGGCCCTTTGCCATTTCGAACGGGTTCATCGCGGCGGGATTTCAGACCTATCTCGGCCGCACCGTGCCTTTGCCATTTCAGACGACTCGAAGATCTACATTCCTCTAGTTAGACGAGTTTACCGGCAGCTTGCAAGGTACTCGGTGACTTGTGACTTTCACACTCCTTCCTATGGTCTCTGACATGTGTTATCTGAACACTTTGTATTTTGATGATTTTTCTGTTCTATTATGGTTATTGATGGATGACAGAAGATAATTTTAGGAGGTTTTGCAATGTTGACCTAGAAATTGGATTTGTTAAATTTCAGGCTCATATATAACTGATTCTGGAATTTGATCTGGTTTTGGAAAATTAATTGCCTATCCATATTGTTGGTTGATGGTGGGACTCCTAAATAAATAGATGTGATTTTACTGTAGAATTGGTTGTGATTTGGCTTCAAGTTGGCTTTGGAATATGATTTTGGCTGGGACTTGTGAATTCTAATGTGAGTCTGAGAATTCCCTGCACTTGTAAAGTTGTGTATTCTAATGTGAGTTTGTGACTTGGCTGTGAATTCTAATTTGATTTATATGGTTGTAACTTGTGCATTTGGTTGTGACTTATTAATATATGAAGCATAGCCGCAATCCCATAGTTTTCTTTTCCTCATTTTGAAGTTTTACAATCTAGATCCTCTCTGAGTAAACTAACCTCTATACTGCTTCTGCTACCTTTTCTTTTATGGTTTTCAATCGACTTTGATGATCGTTTTTACAGAAAACTAGGCTTTTCTCTTCAGTGGATAAAGGCACAGATCACTGTTTTTTAATTCCTTTCTTTGGCTGGGACCGAATTCATCGGGCAATTGATACCAAAAATCAGCCATTTCAAAAGGAGCAAGCCAATCCTCTGATTTAGGGTAACAAAACTGTTTACAAATTCAAAGATGGAGATAAATCTCTTTTGCAGCGAAAAGGGCTTGCAAGAGGTAACTTTAAGAATTAACAGTTTTTAAATTTTGGACTTCTTTTCTTTTTCCTTTATCCATTTTTTTAATTATTTTAGATTTTGTTAATACAATTTATCCAGCCTGCCGGAATTGTGTGAGTTCTACTTATATGTTTATTATCAGCTGAGTTGCTCATATGAATTTCACAAGTTTATAGATTTCATACTTTTGAAAAGAATAAAATAAGATTGATAATTCATATTGACTCTGTATAATAACTATAATTCAAAATTATAAATTGTTCAGAAACTCGTTTGTATTTGGATAGCTTCTCAACTGAATATGGAAGATTGCTTTAATTAATTGACTTTTGTCTAAAGTCTAATTGTGTAATGATGCCATGTTTGCAGTTTTTTAGTTTAAACCCTACAATAGCGTACAGTTTATTCAAGAGTGCATCCAACACAATAGTTTAAGTTTATTTTTGGGAATACTCTATCATGAGAAAATTTTATGAATAGATTGGAACTTTATTCTATCTTGATAAAAAGAAAAAAAAATGATTTTGGGATTTCATTTCTTGATTAAGAGAAAAAAAATAACTCAACTTTATTACAAATTTCAAAACATGGAGATTTTATATAGTAGAAGAGTGGGTGTGTGTGTATCGCTAGAGAGATGATGCAAAATATCGCTCCAGTGCTGGGCGTGCTTATATTGTATAAATATTTTTAGAGATGTATTTAATTATTTATTTGGTTAAATAATTTTATAAATAAACCTTAAATTAAATTATATCATGATTACTTGAATAATTAAACATGTGTAAAATAATGTATTGATCTAAATTATATTTTGATATTATCATGAGAATAAAATGATATCAAGTTTCGTATTTTATTCTACTTATTTTTAAATTTATTTTATTGTCAAATATCATTTAATTATATATATGATGTAACTATTAAAACTAGGCATCAGTTATCCAAAAAGATTTAGTTATAATTAGAAATTGAATTATGCAAATTTTTGTAATAAAATTACGGGTAAATAATTTTTTCCACCCTGTACTATACATGCTTTTGGATTTAGCAACCACAGTATTTTTCAACTTGAACTTCATGAACATTTAAACTTGCCTACATCTTGACCATATATGTGTCCATTTTTGCGGATGATCGTGTGGTCAAGAAGTAGGCGATTGTGCAAATTATGAATGTTAATGAAGTTCAAGTTGCATTTTACAATGCTTAAACTAATTGATAAATAATTCATACATATCCATTATATTTGATTATGTATTATTTTTATTTTTATTAAAAATACTTTCAAATCTATTAAAATTTATTAAAAAAAAATCTGGTTCAACCTGCCGGTCCTACCGGTTACCGTTTCATTGGCAACCATTTCATTCCAACAAATTGAATTGTTCGACAGACCTATTCTTGGTCCAACCAGTCCTTGGTGTGAAAAATCACGTGCAACTTGTTATTGTGTGTTTGCTTGACAGTGTGTTGAGAGATACCATGGTGATAATCTTATAAGTCAATTACCCGATGACATTCTCCTTATTATCCTATCTTTCCTCCCATTGAAAGAAGCTGGGCGAACAAGTGTTCTTTCATCTCGTTGGAGAAACCTGTGGAGTTACATCTCACATCTCAACTTTGATGACCATAGCTCGATGGAGAAGGTTATGCGGGATCCCACATTTCACAGTGTCAGCGTTGAGAGGGAAAAGTATGTAAAGTGGGTGGATTCGGTTCTCCAATCACACCGAGGGTCCACCGTGAAAGAATTAAGAATATGCTTTAGTTTAGTCAAATCAGCCACAAAGTCAATTACGAAGTGGCTTGAATTTGCTTTTGAGAGGCACACTGAAAAGTTGGAGTTGAACCTTTCAGAAGGTGACTGTGGTCATAGCCCAGATGAAACGTACGTGTTTCCTCAAGAGTTATGCAGTTCAGACCGTCTTTTCAACTTTAAGCCCATAAAAATGTTGTTCTTGGGCAGTGTTCAAGTCTCTGGTGAAACTATTGAGTTTCTCTTACGTGGCTGCCCATTGCTCGAGCAGTTAATTGTCCGTTCTTCCAAATATTTGACACGTCTTAAAGTTTGTGGACCATCCCTTGTATTAAAGCATTTGGAGATATGGCAGTGCCTTTATTTAAAATCCTTAAGAATTTCTGCTCCGAAACTAACTTCACTTATACTTTATAAAATAGAAGGCCTCTTGCTTGAGGACGTTCCAATGCTTACTAGTGTTCATGTGACCTTGGCGGACACTCGGCCTTCTTCTTCAGAGAGATTAATTTCTACATTGCTTTGCTGTCTTTCCCAATTGGAGATTCTCACCTTGAACATTTGTCGTAAGAGGGTAAGTTGTCTTTCTGCATTGGTTTAATTTTCACTTAATGGAGCTTTGTGATTGTAAAGTAAATATGAAACTTGATAATGGAGCCCTATCGTTGATTTGACAATCATCACGTGGTTAAATTTGGTGGGTCATATAATACTCAAATGATTGTCAAATCAATTATTTTGAACTTCATTTATTTGTTATTGCAGGAGTTTCTATGGATGCTCAAATTCCCCATGATGCCTAAACTTAAGAAGTTGGTCATCATTGAAGGTTTAGTTGGTGTGGACACGAGTCTTCTTGGCCTAGCTAATTTTATCAGTGCATCGCCCAACCTGCGAGAATTTGAGATACAGGTTGGTCTTTGTAAACATTATCCATGCTATCTCGTCATCATTGAATGGCTTTACTACCTGTATTTGTTGTCTTATATTATTTATAGGTGTTAACTTAGTATATGAACTTATTTTATTTTTCACTTGTATATATGCAGCAAAGGTGGTTTAAAGCTGAAAGGTCAAACAACGAAATTCAGAAGGGATTTAAACACTTCCCACTGCACCAGCACCTGAATGTTTTTCGGTTTTTAGGTTATTATGCTTGCCCGAGTGATTTTGAATTAGTCAACTACTTGTTGGAGAACTGTGTCGCGCTTAAGCAAATCTTTGTTGATACCCAAACTCAGCTACGTGGGGGCTACGATCCTTTTCTTCCTGAAGAAATAGAATTGGCTGAAATAGCAAAGTGTTACGCAAAACAGCAGCTGGAGCAGTTAGTACCTAACCACATTTGCTTATTTATATGCTAACCATTTCTGTGTTTAATTCAATACTCTTGTTTTCTTGGTAATTTATATAGAACCTGGTGTGATTTATTCTGTGTCTTGTGTTGTTGTGACTTGTAGTTTTTATCACTGTTTTGAGACCCGGACCGGCCCGGCGGGTCGACCCGGGACCCGGTCGACCCGGAGCCGGAACCTGTCCGGGTGGAGTATTTGGACTGGGCAACCAAGGACCCGGTTAAACCCGGCCGACCCGGGGCATTGACCCGGCCGGGTCAACCCGATTGACCCGGTCCATATATATTTTTTATATTTTTTTTTTATTTTTTAAAAATAAAAATATGTATATATGTTTAAATGGTAAATATTTATCATGAGATACATATTATTAACACTTTAATATACAAATTTTATACACAAAACATTTAATTTTGTTACTTTTATGTATATTTATATAATAGAAATACTCTATATATAATTTTAAAAATTTTAAAATTAATTATCCGGTTCAGCAATTGACCCGGTGACCCGACGGTTGAACCGGTGACCCGAGGACCTGCCCAGGTCGATCACCGGGCCGGGTTTAAAAACTATGGTTTTTATTAGTATTATGGAATGATACTTTGCTTTTGTTGTGGTTTCTTGCATGTGAAATATTTTTGGGCATCAGCTTATTTGGGGTTGTGTGTATTAGGTAGGATCTCATGATCTCATCCCATTCTTCATGTTAGTGAGTAGACTTCACTGTTCTTGCTCGTGTAAAATTTTTAGCAAGCTTTTGTTTACTTCATTTTTTCTTGCTCGTGTGCGATTTATTAATGATTATTGTTGACGTTGTGTTTGGCCATATACCGAAAGCCAAATTGTTCCTAAAATTCACAACTATTTGGCGAATTACAAAATTAGATGACTTGTTTTCATACAAAATCAAATAACTTTTGTTTTCATAATACAAAATGATACATTTTTTTTTTTCTTTTTTTTTTTCCTCTGTGTCTGGTCTCATAAAATTATTTAAACCTACTTGAACACCTCTGAGACTTATGTTGTGTTTGGTAAAACTAACTGATTAGTAAGTTGATAGCTTATAAGTGAATTTTGAGGTTATAACTGATAGTTTACTATGACTTATATTTTCAAAGCTAGTTGATATAATGAAAGTGTTTGGTAAAATTAGTTGTTAAGTCAGTTGAAATAAAAATTTCAACGAACTTATTTGAATTGGTATTCAAACAAGTTTACTAGATAAGATCGAGCTTTAAAAAATAAAAAAACTCGTCCTATCAAACTAAACTCATTATATATAGAAAGTTTATAAGCTAATAAAATTAGCTATAAGTTAGTTTATTACTTACCAAACACACTTTTAGTCTAAAACTTGGTTTCATTGATCTTCTTGAAGTTTGATTGCACAGTTAAAAGAACAAAGGTAAAACCCCTCTTGTGCCTCTAGAGTTTCATAAGCTATGTCCAACGAGTAATTATAAATTTAGGATTAAGCATTGTTAGCACAACTTTTTATAAGTTTCAAGCACAATACACATCAATTTAAAGTAAAAAAAATGGACTACATATACGGTTTTGAAATTCTGTGTAAGGACCAGCTTTTGTTCAAATAGTTCAAGTAAATAAAATCTGTAACGCAATATTTCGTTCTCCTTTATCCCTACAATGCACTTGTTACCTGTTGCACCATGTGATCTTTCATGTGCTAATGCTTTGATAATAAATAGCTTTTTTTTTTTAAGAGCTTAAGACCCTGCAACTTTAGGTAGCAAACAGAAGAAACCAACTTATGACAGATCATATTCGATAATCGGAGGACAAGTACATGTGAATTCTCGTTTTCTAGTTGATTTTTCTTGTTGACGCTTTATACGGTTTTTGTCCGGTCACCACAAATTATACGTATGTTTCGTTTATTGCAGTAGGGTCCTTCGAAAGTTATGTTGCTATAGTTGGTAGGATACAATTTTTTCCCCATCACTCAAATTGTTGTTGTGCCTTCAAATCATTATAATGTTTGAAAGACAAATCACATGAACTTGTCCTTCAAAGTCTTTAAAATTTTGGTAAAACGTGTTATCACAATGAATGATTTTGTCGCCTTGGATACAGTTGACAAAACATCTAGCTGTTATTCTTGATCATATTTACTTCATTGTGGCAGGGAATGTATGTTCCCAAAATGACAAAATCATTTGAAATTCTTATCAAGATTTGAAAATAAATTCTTGTCGTTCACCACAAATTATATGTATGTTGCGTTTATTGCAGTAGGTCGTTCGTGTGCTATGTTGTTATAGTTGGTAGGATACAATGTTTTCTCTATCACACAAATTGTTGATGTGCCATAAATTCTATATGAACTCCTAAAGACAAGTGCATGTGATTCATCGTGGTTCTTCCATGCATATTATCTTTCCAATTTTGCTATGGAGCCATCGGATGACTCGGCTTATGGAGCCATCCACACTTATTCACCAATAGTGTATTGACACGTGTCCTGCAATAAATACACTTTGGACATGTGTCAATACATTAAGTGGTGGATGGCTCTATAAGAAAACCATCCAATGACTCCATAGAATTTTTGATTATCTTTCAATAAACCTCTATAAACGTACCGCTCGTATTTTTCAAACGACACCAAAGTAAAAAATGCTCAGAAACCATATCTTAAGCTTCTCTGCTTTGATTTACTTTCCAGAAAATTTTCCACTTTCACTCATAAGAGATTTTTTTTTACCTAATTTTATACGTAAAATGGCCATCCATCAAATGTGGGACGATCTTTATCCAGCGAAAAAAGATCATCTGAAGTCCCAAAGGGTCATTTTGCGGTTTATGTTGGGGAAAACGAGAAGAAGAGATTTGTTATTCCGGTTTCGCATTTGAACCATCCTTTGTTTCAAGTATTACTATTTCAAACTGAAGAAGAATTCGGGTTTCATCATCCAATGGGCGGCCTTACAATTCCGTGCCGTGAGGATTTGTTCGTTGATCTAACTTCTTGCATGAGATGAGTGTGATTTGTATATAATATCCTTTTCTTTTTTTTTAGGACACGTTTTTGTAAATTTTAGGTTAGATGTACCAATGATTTATAGAAATGGTGTTGTGAATCTACATGAAAAGTTACACCAATTTTTCAGCAAAAGCATTGTCTAATTTGATTTGTTTGCTGCAATTAATTATTCTATAAGTTGTTGTTAGTCAGCCTGACACAATTCTTTATACTCGAACGAAATTTTGATCCTTTTTTCGTGTATAGAGCCATAATGTTATTACTCAGTCTATCGTAAGTATAGTAGCAATGTGCATTTTTCTTGAGAATAACAAAAAAAGTTATTTGCTGCTTTTCGTGACACTCGGTTTAACATGGCTTTGAAGCCTTTTACTTCTGTTATGGTTTTTAACTGTGCTCTGGAATATAGTAAATCTATGTAATGAATCTTACAGAGTTAAGCTGAGTCCACATATAATTTCATGATCAACTCATAAACAGATACTGCTAATGCATCATTACTACTATAAAAATCAATAAAAATGGAAGGAAAAAAAAAAAATTGTTCTTTACTGAAGTTGAATATAAAAGAACTGTGTTCTTTTAAAGAACAATGTCGATCTAAACAATGTTGTCAAACTTGAAAAAATATATTTTTCACAATGCCAGCTCACCAAACTCGATTTTTCATCGTCTGTGGGACCGTGATGTTTGAGAACATGTCTGAAAAACAAAACAGAACGAATGGTGGAATAATAGTACATCAGATTATATTTATTGTTTTTGTATGATATTCAATGATCGGTCGACAAATCCATGTGAGCTTGCACTTGCTTGTTTTTGTAAATTAGGTTCTTCTGAGACTAAAAGCTCTTCCTCATTTCCAGTTTTACCCCTTTATAACACATACATGTAACATGATACTATTTTAAATCTGATGCAAAAAGCATTATCTGATTCAAAACTTGCATTTGTCTTTCTAACATTATAAAGATTTTGTGGTTATATATGTATAGAGGATAACAGAAAGTGAATATGCATGCAAGAACACAAGGACTAACATGTGTTTGTCTTTCAAACATTATAAAGATTTTAAGGCACAACAACAATTTGAGTGATGGAAAAAAATTGTGTCCTACCAACTATAGCAACATAGCCTTCATAACGACCCTACTGCAATAAAACTAACATACATAGATTTTGTGGTGAGTGTAGAATACAATAATGAGCATTCACAAATGGATTTGTCGCCCAATCATCGAATATGATCTGTTATAAATAAAAAAAAAAAAAAAAAAAAAAAAAAAAAAAAAAAAAAAAATCTATTTATTGAATATAATCAAGATAATGAAGTCCTGAGCTGGGCCACAGTGAAACCTTTTAAAGAGTACTGGTGAAAAGTACATTATATCAAAGCATTAGCACATGAAGGATCACATGGTTTTGTCATCTAATCATAAATAATGTACTAAATTTGATTTACCAAATGTGAAAATTGGTTTGGTAAAGAAACAGAAAAACAAGAACAATAATGACTTGAATCCACAACCACTCAATCTATATGCTAAAGAGATATGATACTCACAAGCTCATCTATATATACACACACATCCAAACACATTTCTAAGCTCACAAACAACAACAACAAAAACAAATCCTTGAAATTCTCAAAACCTTTCATTTGTTTCACATTTAGCTTTAATTACTGCATTTAAAAAATCCATGGCCATTCAACGCATTCTTAGACGCTCTTTATCGTCCGAGAAAAGATCGAACGGAAAAGGAGTCGAGGTCCCAAAAGGACATTTTGCTGTTTATGTTGGGGAAAATGAAAAGAAGAGATTTGTTATTCCGGTTTCGTATTTGAACCATCCTTCATTTCAAGAGTTGCTTTTTCAAGCCGAAGAAGAATTCGGTTTCGATCATCCAACGGGAGGCCTAACTATTCCGTGCAGTGAAGATTTGTTCATTGATCTTACATCCCAGTTGAGGAAAATGAGATTAAGTAGGTCTTAGAGTAGTTAAAAAATTGGTTATTAGCTTTTAGATTCGTAGAAGATACTTTGTCGGGTACAAATTGTATTCCTGGACAAACTAAAGTAATTCTACTTTGTTCAATATGGCTTATGAAAGCGCTTGAGAGGTGGTTTAATCGACAAAAATCATTTACTTACGACTGTTCTTTTAACTCACTTTAATTAGCATGTTACCAATCGAGGTATAGAATCCATTGTCCCTTACTCTGTATTGTACTTTATATTAAAACTATGGATAATTATCAGCAATAAGCAAAAGAGAACCATATGATTTCGAATTGTTAATTTCACAGACGACTAAAAAGAGAAATGGCCTTCCACGAAAAATGGCTCAGTAATGTTTCTTGTACCTTGAATGTAGCTACTGTCTCTCTAGCATCTAACAAGATTCAACTTTTCATTGTACCTTGAATGTAGCCATACAAAAAATGAAAACATCAAAAAAAAAGAAAAAGTAATAAATGTTTCAATATGATCATTTAACAACAAACTCTAATAAAAAAAACATACATCTCATACTCGCTATTTGAGGAAAAAAAAAAAACAGTACTCTAATCAACTTAGGGAGCATCCCTTTAGTTTTTCGTTAATCAACTGCTTTCCAAATTGTAGCTGATCAATTGGGTTAAAATATCGACCCAAGTATCGGGAACACCTGGAAGGCACCAATGCATACAATCCTGTCCCCATACTGACACTGCATCCTTCTTGCCGAGCCAAATGGCTGGATGAGCATCAGCTCTATACTCGCTCAAACGAGTCAAATCGAGTGGTTTTATGCTCGTCTCTTTCAGTGTCTCCTCAATCAGATGATTAAGTTCTCTAGCTTCTTTGTTCACTCCATTATTACTCAGGTCGAACCATAGATCAAGCTGTGCAAGCATCACATCACGGATTTAATTAAATAATAGCAGCTCCACAGAAAACACTTGAGACAATGTTTGAGAAGATTACAGGGATTAGGGTACTGCAGTACAAAAACTACTCTTACAATCGTCTACTATTTGTCTGTTTTTTTATTGGAAAGCAAAATAATCTCAATTGGTTATTGGTAGTGGCGCTCAGTGAGGAAGACATACTGCGCATTTATTCAAGACAAAAGCAGATATTACAACAATAGCATGAATATGAATAAATTGATGGTCTCAATACTGCACACCCCTTATTATTAACATTTCAGGTTGATCGAGTTGGTGACTGGACACAGGATGGTGAAGTTGTCGCCGATGAATAATTATGATTTTATGACTTTTTAAGACATTCGAATTATGAGTTGAACTGTTTTTCAGACTTGTTGTTTTACAATGTGGTTTGGGTATATTTGTCTAAAAAAACTTGAGATGCTTAAGTTGAGATAATATGTTTTTGTTTTACACTTGATTTATAAATTGAGCATGTTTGAGATTGAGACTTGAGAAGTGAGTTCCCACAAGCTTAAGTGAGAGGCTTAAGTTAAGTTTTAAAAGTAAAGCAGTTCCGCTTTTAGAAGAAGAGGTTTCACCGTAGTGCCTAGAAGAGTTTATATGTTTTTGAAAAATCAAATATCTTGTGACAACTTAGAGTTTTCGAAAGATAAGTAAGAGGGCGCTACATAGTGGTATTAGAGCCAGGTTTTCGATTGGGAATGTCGAGTAATTTTGTGAATTCACAGCTGGTTTCTACTTTCTATCATTATGTGCATGTGCCTAACAGAACTAACTGTGCACAACTTAGATACTGGTTAGCTAGATTATTTTCGAGAGGAAAACGGGAGAAAAAAAGGTAGGGGACTAAAATATTCGGTTTACCTGAGATTCGTCAAGTGGGTTATCAAACAAGCAACTTCCGTTTTGATTCCAATCACCACCATGAAAGTGCCTCGGTGACTGTAGCCGCCAGAACTTGAGTACCTTTGTGGGGAATACTCTCTCAATGTGAGCTACCATATGCTCCAGAACAACTTTGAGCCCATCCGATATTTCCAAAGAAGGATTTATTGGTTGCCCGTTCTTGAAGAAAACAAGAGGGGACTCTTTTGGGAATTTATCATAGCCCCACCTGATGGAAAAAGAGTAAAGAAGAGAACTCATTCTTGCAACATGTTATCATCAAGAACAAAGAACAGGAAACACATGTCATGTACAGCATCCAAAATATAATCAAACATAAAAGCTGCTAAAACTCGAATCGAGTAAGAATGGAACAGGGAGAGAATATTTTAATTGTCTCAGCCTTTGTGTATAATCTCAAGAAAAGGTTTGTCCCCTACAGGTTTTGGCAAAGCAAATGGGAAAAGTATCTATATGATTCAATAAAAAATAAAAAAATCAAATCAACCTGGTATTAGCTATAAACTTGATAAGAAACTGCACAGTTTGAACAGGACAAAGGGTTTAATCTGAAGGTTCATATCATAATCCATAGATATGTACATACTAATCTATCTTTTTTACTTTTAGATGAAAATAAAGAAGACGAACAAGGGAAAAAATTGAAGAAGGATTCAGAGGGTTGTTAAACCATCCTCTGGACAGTAGCATCAAGAAAAATAATAACTGCAACATTGTATTGATAGCATGAAACATTATATTGATTGCATGACCTAAATTCAGCTCACCAGTGACCAGTGTTGAAGACCAGCACATCATAGAAATCAGCAATATTAACCCAATCATTTGCTGGAACATCAACATCTACACGATATATTCCCTTCACTCCATCTTGGCCAGATAACGCGGCCTGTTTAGTCTGCCACCTTAAGTATATCAGTAATGAGCTTGTGAGGCACCCATCTCCCAAAAAGAAGAAGAGAGAAAGAAAAAGACAAAAATGAAACACAAAAACATCCTAAAATAACAAAGTATAAATTGCATTCAGATTTCACAATCAAGAAGACTGATTAAACAGGTGGAAAAACACTATGTAGGAAGACACTCAGTCCAAGATTATATAAAAGAGAAAGTAATCTGTTTTTAACTTCACCACACAAATGAATAAACATGTAGATAAACATTTCGTTGAGATCTGTGTCAAATACACAAGAATGGCAGCAAACGAGGAAGCTAAAAATATCATATGGGATGGTTAAATGACAGGCCATACAAAATACCTAAAGAAGTGATATAATCATTATTAAGTGATACATTAACAACAGTCGATAGAATCAGCCTTATTGAACCAAGGTAGATGATAGATGTTTTATTTTCCGCATAGTTCTACTTATATTTTCCAGTAAAAGCTTATCCACACAGATTCCACTGTAAAGACTTTCTTCCTGCAAACAACCTCAAGTATAATCAAGAAACGCAACTAGTTTAGGTACTTGATATATAAATCGTCAAAAAAAAATCCTTGTAAAAATCACAAGCAACATCTAACAATGCAAAACAACCCACTGTACCAAATCACAACACACAAGCAAATATCAGTCCTATCAGACATGAATGATTAATTATCATATCAATAAATGTCAAACCAAGAATCCTATAAATAAGATCAATTTCTCAAACTTAAAGCAGCAACACCTACTCATATTTCGCCAGCAAAACCGCACGATGATACGCGACTGTAACATTGAACTTGGGAAAATAAGCACCTCTCCAAGCCCCCTTTCTCTTCCACTTCTTAGCACCATCATCAGCCACTCTCAGCACACACAGAAACGACACCAGGAAATTCTCGTTCAAAGAGTCCCCCACGAACCCAACATTCCTATTCCTCATCCGACTGAGGAACCGAACCGGGTCGATCCGGTCCAAGTGGCAGCCTTCGGGCACCCATTTCCATGAATTGATCCGGCCCATCTTCTCTCTCTGGTTTCGAATGCAGTTCCAAGCGTTCCTGTGAAATGGGCAGGTCGAATCGTACATGGGTTTGCGGGTTGGATCGAAAACCCAACGCCCTCTGAAGAGGTTACAGTGATCTTGAGAGTAATTAGGGTTTTCGGAAATCGGCGATTGTAGGGCGCGATTGGTGGTGTACAGAGGCAGGACATTGGAATAGAAGAAGATGAGCAAGCACGAAGGAAGGATTAGCCATGTTATGAGCTTGGGGGTTAGCTTAGATAATGCCATTGGAGTTCATGTACTCTTGTAGATGTTTTCATACGCAGACATCAAACTGTAAAAGCTCACATGAAAGAATACCTGTAAAGGCTTGAAGGTTAGTGTTTGCAAAATTGTAAATCAAACTGGAAATCTTTTCGGCCAAATTTCCAGTGTCATTTATTTGGGCTGTGACTTTTCATGGTTCGTTTTTTAGATTTTTCTAATCACTAATCCATCGATTTATAAATGTATTTTTAAATTTTGACACTGTTACTAAAATCAATTTCTATGAGTTTTTTTTTTTT